TTTCTCCAAGACCCTGTATTTGAGACATCTAAATAGTGTCAATAATAATTGATATTTAGAATCATAGATGTATAGCTGGAAAGGAACTTCCAGGTCATCTATCACAACTCCTTCATTTTACAGTGGAAAAAACCAAGACCCAGAGAAGTTAAATTACTTACCCTAGGTCACACAGGCAGAGACTCAGGATTTGAACCCAGATTCTCTGACACCAGATATAGCACTAGAAACAACTCCATTGGAACGCTGATATTTTAACTAAGAACACTTTTTAAATGAATAAATCAGAACTGGGCCTACATATCTCAGTGAATTAAAGCCATTTTTGTGAGAAATCTGGATTCACAAAAGGAGTAAGGCAATTCTTGTATGTCTTTCAAGAGCAAAGAGAGAACTGAGCTGTCAAAGAGAAGGAAGATATAGAGAAACATTGGTTCTACAGGCACCGGGACAATCCAAGAAAAGGTCAGTTCTTTTCACAACTTCCCCTCCCAATGCCTGCTTCTCCAGTGACACTATAATGTAATCTGGGATTCATTACCCAAATGTTCCCAATAAACTGAATTTAACATCAATCACAAAGAGGCTAGGCATCAAACTAGAGATAAATATAAATGTAAGATCAGGCAGAGATCTGCCTAAATGTTTGGAATTTTTCTAACTGGGGACTCAGAGTGATTTTGTTTGAATTTAGAACTTTTCATGTAAAATAAAATATTTAAATCCAAAGAAGATGGAACCAAAAAGATTTTAGAAGCTATTATACTCCCTCCAATGCCACCAGTCTTTCTCCCTCCACTTAATAGTATTTTATTTTTTTTCCAAATACACATAAAAATAGTTTTCAACATTCACTTTTATAAGATTTTGAGTTCCAAATTTTTCTCCCCTCCAACCTCTCTAAGACAGCAAGCAATCTGACACAGGCTATACATATACAATCGTGCTAAACATATTTGCACATTAGTCATGTTGTAAAAGAAGAATCAGAACAAAAGGGGAAAACCATGAGAAAGAGGAAAAAAAAGAGTAACTAGTTTGCTTCGATCTGCATTCAGACTTCATAGTTCTTTCTCTGGATATTACCACCACCAGTCTTAAAATGAATTAAAGACACAGAGTCTATGACATAAATACTATCTCATTTGAACCTTACAACAATACCTCTAGGGTTGTAACGCTGCAGGTATCGTTATCCCCACTTTAAAGGTAAAGAAACGAAGGCTCAAAAGGTGACTCATACAACTCTCCACTGTCAGAGTCAGGGGATGAACAGCAGGTCTTAACTCCAATTCCAGCCTTATTTCCACTACAGGATATTGCACTGAAATACCCAGTTTTTGTTTTTGTTGCTGGTTGTCCTTCATTTTCCAAGACCGATGTGTGACATCACAATATTGGAGTGTGGTGTGGTGTGTGGCCAATCAGTCCAGTTCAAGGTCAGAGGCTGCTGCCGCAGATCAGGCACGTGAGCTCTGTTAGAAGTCAGAATTAGAGTGGAAGTGGCTCACACTTCCTTTGTGCTTCTACAATGCTGCTTTGCTCATGGAGTACCGTGCCTTCTTTGCTGTGGGCAAGCCACAATGGGCGTTCTAGTGCCAGGGTTTCCCCATGTCTCATGGTCAACATCACAGTGCTCCAGAGATACCGTGAAAGTGTCTTTATACCGCTTCTTGTGACTGCCATGTGAGCACTTACCTTAATTCACTAACAGCTAGGCCAGGAGTGGGGAACCTTTGGCCTCAAGGCCACATGTGGCCCTCTAGGTCTCCACCCCTGAATTCTAGGCAGTCATGCAAAGACAAGGAACTCTAGTGACTGGTCATTCTACTGGGTATCCCAGGAACCTCTATTTTCTAAAATGTTAGGTAGAACCACAGAATTTAAAAAGCTTAGAGCTGGAAGGAACTTTAGATATATGGACTTTTCCAATTTATTCCTCGTGTGACCATGGGCAAATTATTTCCATTTCCTGGGGCTGTTTCCTAGGAAGTTTTACTAGATTTTACTATTAGGTATGAGTAAACAACTTTTACCACTAGATTTACTACTAGAAGATGTGAGTGCTTTGATCATTACCCCACACCTGGAATGCACTCCATCTTCACTTCTACCTCTTAGAATCCTTCGTTTCTTTGGAGACTCAGGTCAAGTCCTACTTTCTACACTAAATCTTTCCTGATCCTTCCAGATGTTAGTGCCCCTACTCCTCAAACTATATTCTGTAAATTTTCATATTCATCCCTGTGGCCTTCCCTGAGAGAAGGTAAGATCCTTTTAAGGTAGGAATTGTTTCATTTTTGTCTTTGTATCCTAGTGCATAGGTGTGCCTGGCACATGGTGCTTAAAAAATCCTTACTGACTGATTAATTGATTGATTAGATCAATGGCCTCCAGGTAGGAGCTGGGGCCTCACTGTGGTTGCAGCTAACCCCATGTGATTTGTGGCCTGATATCATAGATAATTTGAACTACCAGTCAGAACTTGGGAAAACAGGTCACATTCCCTCCCTCTCTGCTGACAGACAATCATGCAGTTGTCTCCAACAAAATCACAACTGCCTTTATGTCCCCAGCATTCAGACACTCCTTTTACTGTTTGAACTCACTGAACCTTCCTCCCCCACCCCAGGGAGCTGAGTGTTGGCCCATTAGGGAGATTATAACCTAAACTACCACCACCCACAGCAGCTGAACAGGAGCTACTGGGAAAATTGCTCCCTTCCCTACCTCCCTTGGCACCTCTCAGAGGTTGGGATCTGAGCTTGGGGCCAGGGAATGCTGGGTAAGAACCCCACCTCCCCACTTTTTATTTTGGGTGGAACAGATTGAGTCAGACATGGTGAGCAAGCATGGGTGGGTGTGATCTGCATGGCAGAAGTCAGTTCATTATTTTGTCCACAAAGCCATTCATCTTCCAAACTTCCCTATTACTGCTTAGGACACCACCACACTTGTAATCACCCAAGTTGGAAACCTTATCTTCAATTCACTTCTCTCACCTGGATGGTAAATGTTTAACAACTGGCTCTCTGGGGGGGGAAAACCCAACACACACAATCAACAACTGTACAAATTTTTAACACAGTTTAACCTGCATAGTTGACATTTCCTCCATCATTTACTTAAGTCTATACAGTTAACAAAACAATAAATCAAGCCCTGATTTGTAGTTTTTGCCCATTTCTGAGGTATAAATGCTACCACTGAAAAAATAAATGAGCAGTTCTCACCAGTACAAGCTGGTTTGAGCATACCCCTGCCCCACACCCCGTATCCACATACCTAATCAGTTGCCAGATCTTGGTTCTGTGTCTACATTTCTTTCATCTAAGACCTTCTCCCCATTCCTGTCACCAATGCTTTAGTTCAGACCCTCCATCACCTCTTTTCTGGACTATTGCAGTATCGTCCAAACTTCACAGAACAAATACCCTTAATAAAAGAATTTGTTCTGTAAAACAAAAGTTTGGATTCAGTCAAAGGGCAGCACTTGAGGACCTAGAGGGTCACATGTGGCCTCGAGGCCAAAGATTCCCTGCCCCGGTACTAGCTGGTTTCCCTGCCTCAAGTCTCTGCACTCTGATTCATTTTCTGCTCCCTGCCAAAGTGATTTTCCTGAAGTGTAAGTTTGACCATGTAACTCCCCTACTCAGTAAATTCCAATGCCTTCCTATTGATCCTAGGATCAAATACTATTTCATCTTTATAGTTCTGAATACCTGTTTTGCATGTTTCATAATGTGCATAATTTTTAGTATGGTAGTATGAGCATATAATTTATAAATAAATATATGCCCTTTTTTTACACAATCAAAATTTGTTTACCAATGGAGTGTATGGTCAAAAAATTGGGAGACCACTGGATTACATATGACCAAGAAGAGGTTAATTGCTCTTAGAACCCTTGTAGCCAATGATTCCAAGCTCTCAACTAACACCCATTTTGGAGATAAGAAAACTGAGACTCAGAGTGGTTAAGTGATTTCCCCAAGGTCAAACTGCTAGTTTGGATTTGGGGTTAAGTATATGAGCATTGGAAGGGCAGCTAGGTGGTTCGGTGGACAGAGTGCCAGACTGGAGTCAGAAAGACTCCTAAGTTAAAATCTGGCCTCAGACTCTTACTAGCTGTGTGACCCTGGGCAAGTTTTGCCTCAGTTTCCTCATTTGTAAAATGAGCTGGAGAAGGAAATGGCAAATCACTCCAGGATCTCTGCCAAGAAAACCCCAAATGGGATCACTGAGAGCTGAACACAACTAAAGCAACAACAAAACTAGGAGCATAGATTTAAGTCCAAGCCCCTCATTTCACAGATGAACAGAAGCTCAAAGAGGTTAAATGTTTATACAAGTTCAAGTATAAGCCTATGTTTATACAAGTAATGAATAGCAGAGCTAGGATTTGAACCCAAGCCCTCTGAGTCTAAACCCAGTATGCTTTCCATTGCACTACACTGCTCTATTTATTGATTTTGTCCATAGTCATCTTTTCTGCTCCTTTCTAAAGCACTCTGGTATTTGGTCTGGGTCTATGATTTGTTTGGTAGAGGGCACTCTGGGTATGGAAAAGTAACAACTGGAGTGATGCCTGGGGCACTGAGAAGTACCAGGTCATATAGCTTAGATGCGTCAGAGACAGGATCCCAGGCTCCTTGATTGACACCAAGGCCAGCTCTCTATTGACATGCATTGATCATGTGATACTCTCATGTGCCATCATCATTTCAGAATTTCCTCCCAACAAAGCAGATTGTAACTCATTCCTACCTATCCATTCTGTGAGATTTCTACCCATGTCTTCCCAAAGGCTTATCTCTGGTGGCCATGCAATGTGTAGACTAGAGGTCTTCCTGACCTTTTCTGGACCTTGTGAGGTATCAGAGGAGTACTGGGGCCATTCACCTGTTATATTCTCTCTCATATAGTTCCTCCATGACATCCTTTATTCCTGTTCTTAAGAATTCCTCATTGGTTACAGGTTGCTGCTTGCTCCCACTTACCTTTCAACCACCACGAACCTTCAGTTGCTTCTGAGTGATTCACCTTTAGTTCTTCAGAGAGTCGTATTCCTGTTATTCTTCGGCCATATGGCAATTCCAGTAAATCACGTGTTTCGTAAAGATGGCCCCTTGTTGCTATGGGAAGTTTGGGGCCAGGAAAAGTGCTTTGCAATTTCCCCAAAACAACCCAGCCCACTCTCCTCCTTGTCAAGCCTGGGCTCAGCTCTTTTTCCTTCAGTACTCGTGTCCCAGATACGCATACTGCAGGACAAGCTCTAGAGGGTGTCCATAGAGATACATGTTGAAATCTGGGCCATAGATATTCTTCATTTAAATGGTCTGCCAAAAGAAAAAGCAAATATTAACGCTGTATTTGAATTTAGGCATAAGTCTTCCAGAAACAATTTTCATTAACTTATCATTATTCTAAATCCAAGTATTTCTAGCGTAGAGAGGAAATATCCAAACAGGTAGAGTCCTCTCATGGATTCACATATGTCTATCTAATACAAGCCATTTTACTTTTTCTTTTCTTTTTTTTTTTTTTGGTTGGGCAATGGGGGTTAAGTGACTTACCCAGGGTCACACAGCTAGCCAGTGTTATGTATCTGAGCCCGTATTTGAACTCAGGTCCTCCTGAATCCAGGGCCGTTGCTCTATACACTGCACCATCTAGCTGCCCCCAACAAAAGCCATTTTGAAAAAACATCGGAATCTTTAAGGGGCATCAAGGTGGCTCAGCAGATAGAGTGGCAGGCTGGGAGTCAGGAATATTCAACTTCCCTGGTCCAAATCTGACCTCAGACACTTCCTAGCTGTGTGACCCTAGGCAAGTCACCGAACCCTGTTTGCCTCAGTCTCCTCATCTGTAAAAAGAGCTAGAGAAGGAAATTGAAAATCACTCCAGTATCTGTGCTGAGAAAACCCCAAATGGGGTCACAAAGAGTCAGACATGGCTGAAAAATAACTGAAGAAGGAACCTTGAAAATGAAAAAGTTGCAGTATGATAAAACACAGCTCATGGTTTCCTTTTTATTTCTTCTGAAGGAACAATAACCAGTCTTTCCAGAGCTCTCTTAGAGTAGCATTCTCCTACAACCACTCAATTTCATTTTGATCATTCCCCTCAGGAACTCTCCCTTAGCTGGTTTCAGGTGACCTGAAGCAATCAAAAGGATCTCTTTGGATACATGGGGAAAGAGTGCATTGTCTTTGAGTGAGCCATAACTCTGCTTCCTTCAGGGAGAGAGAAAGGCAACCATTGTGATCAGACTGGAGATATTTCTACTTTAAGTCTAGTTCTCAGCCTTAATTCATTTTCTAGGTATCTTTCATTCTTGACTCATTACATACTAGCTTAAGAGAAAGGATTTTAATGGCAGGCTTTTTGTTTCCTAAGAAGTTTGATTAACTAGTGTAAGATTTCTTTTCCTTCAGGCAAGGATTTTAGAAATATTTATTTATTTATTACTATTTTCAGGTGAATTTAAAGGAAGGTTTTAATATACTTCCAGGGGTCTTTCCAGTGTGTATGAACGGACCAAATTCCTTTGAGTCAAGCAGGGGTGTGCTGGTAAATAACCTCTCAAAAAAAAAAAGTATGCATAACACACTTTAAAGTTTAACCTACAATATTAACACTTTCTCCTTCACTAAAGTCTAAATAACCAACAAAATAATAAGTTAAACCCTGATTTGTAGAGTTTGCTGATTTCCAAGGTACAAATCCTTACACTGAAAACTGAACTTGTTCTCTCAAATTTGTTCCAGCCAATTCTAGCTGAATCGACAAATATTTATTGTGCCTTCTATATGCTGGCACTATGTGCCAGCAGTACGTGTGCTAAGCATTGAGAATACGAATAATCTCATAATACTCCTACATATAATGCACATAACACTCATACACACAATCTAATAGGGGAGACAAGGTAAATGATTACGCAATATGGGGCAAAACTAGGAACCACAATTATTTGATATCTTGTAGAAATTGTAGAAATCCTTCAACCACCTGGCATCTTAATTTTAAAATGTCCCCAACTCCTAGATACGGATGCAGTGAAGGGCATCGCCTCATCCACTGCTATAACATCACTTGCTGCCCTTAGGTGACACTCCGCAGTTTGGTCTAAAGGAATTTCTTTCACAGTTGTAAAAGTACTTGCTCTCTTCATCTTGTCTCCTTGCCCTTGAATGGGGAGTATTTTTTTATTGCTATAAACGAAGCCCCAAAGTTCATTGGCATAGGACTCTCTCCTCATTGGTGGAGGTCAATCCCTCTTGCCTGTGTGAGAGGCCAGAGTAGAACTGGTGAAGGCAGGAGAGAGGAGAGATGGGTCTCTTTAATCTCTTCTGGCTTTTCAGTCTCCTCATGCCTTTTGGATTCCAGCTTCAAAAGAGAAGCTACACAATGCCAACTTTTCTTTAGGCAGATGAAAGGAGAAAAAAAGACTCTGGAAAGAAATTATACGAGAAGAGCTGGAAATATCTATCATATCCTTATCCCGAGCCTGCTACACTAGAGACTTTGCGGAATTTCCCTTTGGGTGAGTGAAGTCTGGGGTTTTCAGTTGAGCTGTTAACTCATCCCCAGTGAAAGAACTCCTTTACTCTGTATTGTCTGGTATATAACGTCTGGCAGATACATATTTTGCCATCAACTTGGATAAATGGGTTTCTTTGCTGCTGGCTGTGTGTGTTCATTGCGGTATTTGGCAAGAAAGGAAGTCAAGTCTTGAATATAAAGCTTAAGGCTCTCCTTTCTCCATTAAGAAATAGCAGTCAGGAGTTTAACTTGAATCTAAGTTATATCCCCTAGACTAACAATATTTAAGGGAGTGGACAGATATCATTCTAACACAGTAATCTCTCTCTCCCAGGAGACCAACATGACTGCCACAGGCCCCAGCCTGAATGAAAGTGTACTTTGGAGAAGGGTAGGGGGAAGAGACACCAGAGATGTCTATCCTTTTGCCTCTTAGCAGGGGACATAGGATACCCCATGCTACATTCCAATAACAAAGCCTGCTACTTGCATTCCAAATACTCATTCCCTTTTCCCTTGACCTATTCCCTCTCATTCTCTACTCTTTCCAGTAAAATGCTTTACTTTTCTATCCTAAATACTGCAGAATGCTGCTTCATTAGGACCTGAAAGGCTTTAAAAAAAAAAAAGCAAGATCTCTGCCCCCCCCCCAATCTGAATCTGTTATCAGTAGCAACAGATTCCTTAGCATGCTAATGAAACCTTTTGTTTCCAGTTTGGCCTCCTATCTTTGACCCACAGTCATCAGACCTTTCTGCACTGCTGATTACTCCTGTCTCTAGAGGCTGAGAGAATTCTTCAATAGTAGAAAGAAGATATACACTGGATAAATTGTCGGTACTGTCAGAAGAATAGCACTAAGATGAAGGGTCAGAAGACTTCTAGTAGAAGGCGGGATTTTAACTACCAGGGAAAGGAAGCCAGAGAAGCACGGAGATGGAAATGAGGAAAGAGAGAACTCCAAAGCATAGGAGAAAGCCAGTGAGAATGTCCAGAGTCAGGAGATGAAGCATCCTATGCGAGGAACAGCAAGGAAAGCAGTGGCATTGTATCACAGATAACGTGGAAGGGAGAAAAGTGTAAGAAGACTGGAAATTCGGTGGCAAGGGGCCAGGTCACGAAAGGCTCTAAAAGTCAGAGAGAGTATTTTATATTTGATCCTGGAGTATATTGGGAGCCCTTAGAGTTTGTTAGTGTTGTCACTGGTCCTTCTCTCTCCAAGAGGTAAAGTCTTAACTCCTGTATGAATTGGATTTAAGTGAGGCAGAGCTTCAAAAAGTGCTCAGCTTCACTCTCCCCTCCAGAGTCAATGAAGTCCCGAGGCAAGACAAAAGTCAACCAGCAATGGCCCAGGATGCAGTCGGTGACCTTGGCCTTTTCTAAATTAAGGCCTTTCCCAGGTGTCAGTTTGTCTGAGGAAACACCCATTCAATGACTCTAGGTAACAATTGAGTTTTATTGAATATGGGGATAGCCTGATCAGACCTGTGCTTTAGGAAAATAAATTTAACTGAGTAGAGGATGGACTGGAGTTGGGAGGAACTTGAGGTAGGAATACCAATCAAAAGGCTATAGCAATATTCTAGGTGTGAGGGGATAAGGAACCTCACCAAAGGGGTAGCAGTGTCAGAGAAGAAAATCAGGAACACATGAGAAATGCTTTGAAAATAGGAATGATATAACTTTACAACTGATTGGGTGGGGATGGGGTTGGGGAGGTGAGAGAGAGGATGCTACCTAGGTTGTGAACCTTGGTGACTGGGAGGTTGACAGTGCCCTTGACAGCAACAGAGAAGTTAGGAAGAGCGGAGGTGTGTGGGGAGGAACAATATTGAGTTCAGTTTTGTACATGCTGAGTTCAAGGTGTCCACAAGACATTAAATTCACGTCCTGTAAGTAGTTGGAAATATGAGACTAGAGGTCAGGAAAAGATTAGTGCTGATAAATAGGTCTGCAAAACTACCTCCATAATCATGGATAAAAATGGAATCCATGGGAGCTGATGACCTCATCAAGAGGAATAATACAGAGGCAGAAAAGAAGAAGACCCAGGACAGAGTCTTGGGAGACTAAGAGAGTAAGAGGATGCAATCAGGATGAAGAGGCGGGAGACTGAGAAGAGAGGTCATGTAGAGAGGAGGAGGACCAGGAGACAGTAGGGTCATGAAAACATAGAGAGAAGAGAGCATCAAGGAAGAGAGAGCATCAAAATCTTCAGAGGGATCAAGAAATATAAGAACTGAGAAAAAGTTCATTAGATTTGACAAATAGGAGATAATTGGTAATTTTGGACAGAGCAGTTTCAACTGAATGATGAGTTAGGAGCCAAACTGTTAAGGAGTTAAGGTAAGAAGAAAGGAAGAGGAAGCAATTATTGTAGGTGGCCTTCCTAAGGAATTTAACCACAAAAGGGACGAGAGATATTGGGATGATACTTAATGGGGATGTATGGATCAAGAGAGCATGGGGTAGAAGTGGGCATGTTTGTAAGCAGTAGAGAATGAAGATTATTGAGAAAGTGGAGATGTCAAAGGATATAGTCTGCTGGAGAAGACAGAGGTAGGATGGGATCATGTGCACGTAGATTTGTCTTGGAAAGGAGAAGCGTCACCTATTCATATGAGACAAGAGTAAAGGAGACAGTGGTAGAAGACATCTAAGTAATGTGCGATAAGGAACAGAGGAGAAGAAGAGGCCCTCTGAGAATGGCCTCAATTTTTTCAATTAAATATGAATCAAAGTTCTTAACTGAGAGGATGAAGCGAGGGGAAGCCATGGGAAGTTTAGGGGG